GGGGCGGAGGGTGGGGATGGGGGGTGGGGGAGGGTGGTGTGTGTGTGTCTGTGTGTGTGTGTGTGCTACAGACCGTTTTTTGTCTGCCCTCTGCCCCCCACCCTTCACCTCCCAAGACAGTAGGCTGGAATGAGAGAGGGGCTGAGAGACCCTAAGCAGAGAAAGAAGATGGAGCAGCAGCACCCCGCCCGCCCCCCCAACCTCATGGGATTGTTTTGTACTGCCTTTAGGAATCTGAGTGCCCAGGAGAACCAGTGGGAGGTGGGAGGTGACGAAGGAGCCCGGCTGTGGTGTGTGAGTGTAGGAGTGTGCGTGTGTGCTGGGGGTGGGCGTGTGTGAGTTTAGGAGTGTGTGTGTGCTGGGGGTGGGCGTGTGTGAGTGTAGGAGTGTGTGTGGGGGGGCGTGGGGGCTGCAGGAAGAGGAAGAAGGAAGTGAAGCAACGTGCAGTTTTGTTTCCCTTGGAGAAGGAAAGAAATGGAATGGCTTGGTCCAGTGCCCCCAACTGTGGGTGGGAGCAGGGAGCAGAGGGCCCAGACCCCATGGAGAAGAAGTGGGTGGTAGGAAGAGCTGGCTGCCCCAGCCCTCCATCCCCGCTTCCAGCCCTGGTCCCTGCGAGTCAGGTGGTGGGCCTCCGTGACAGCACATGAAAGAGTCCCTGTCAGGCCTGCAAACTACAAGGCTGTGCGGAGGCTGGCAGTGCCCGCAGAGGCCCAGACCCGGGGGCTGCTGCTCTCGGCCTTGCAATGAGGAGGCAGAAGTGTGGAGACCCAGGGCCTGGGGAACCAGTCAGAGGGTGTCTGGGGCAGAAGAGGGAGTTGCCTAGACAAAGAGGTGACAAGGGCCTGTCTCCCTCCCTCATTGGCCCCCTCCTTTGTTCCCAGGCTGGTCACTCTCCTCCCCCCCCCACACACAGGGCCAACCTCAAAGGGCATGGGGGGAGCGAGGGGGGGCACGGGTACCAGGAGGCTTAGCAAAAATGCAAGGATTGAGGTTCTCCAAAGGAAATCATGGGAATCCCCTTCCTCACTTATACAATGGACTACAGTGTCGGTAGGGCCCATTTTCCACCTCTGAGAGCCTGCACCTCTCCTGGAAAGATGGACGCTTCCTTGCTGAGAGCCAGCCTCAGCCCTGCATAGAAAGCGCGTGCGCGACACTCTCTCTCTCTCTCCCTGACATGGTGATTCCTTTCTTCAAGCTTCCAGGGCCTCCGGTCCCTGCGAGTGCTTCCTGCGTCCTTACGTGAGGCCTTTGCCTTGGAAAACCCCCCCACAAGGGCAGCAGGCGGGTCCGTGTGTGGGCAGCCAGTGAAGTTGGGCAATGGGGCTGAAATGTCGGGAACTAACTAGAGACCCCCGTTTTCTTGGCCCCACACCATCTTCTCCGCCCCAGACTAGTCTTCTGTATCGGGCCCCGTCTCCTGGATAGCACCCCTCTGCAGACCAAGGCCTTGTTTGGTTCTCTCTGAATGTCAAAGGCCAGTTGCTGGCGAAGGACCCTGCGTGTGTCAGAGGAGAA